TCAAGCTTCGTACATAGCCAAGTCGGTCTATACCAGTTGATTCGCTTACCTTCGCTCGGTGTCCTGCGTTTAGGAATCCCCCCACCATTGTTCCTCTCCCCATGGCCCGACGCCTGGACCTTTGTATATCTTCCCACCCTTCCATACCCACTTGATATTGTCTTTATCCTGGAGTACTCGCACATCCTGAACCGGGTTTGCCGTCAGGCCAAGTACATCCGCCTCATATCCAACCCGCAGCTGACCAGTCTTGAGGGCCTGAGCACCCACCGTCAACGCTCCATGAACTGTCGCGGCCTTGATGGCTTCCAAATTGCTCATCCCGGCCTCGACAGCATACTCCAGCTCGACAGCAACGTTCATTCCAGGCGCTGTATCGGTCCCCATTGCAACGATGCAGCCCGACTTGATGGCAAGCTTGTACATTGCCAAGTGGTTCTTACCACAGAGCTTGACCTTCTCCCATGTGTATTGATCCAAGCCCTTGCCGCCGGTCGAGAGAAGCATTTCCGTGACGTAACGAGTAGGGACACAGATGATACCTTTCTCCTTGATGAGATCGATGCACTCCTGATCCGCGAATGACAGGTGCTCGAGAGTTGTGACGCCTGCTTTGATGGCGGCCAAGACACCATCTTTCGCATGCACATGGGCTGCCACTGAACGACCTTGTCGCGCAGCCTCAGCGACGATAACATCTAATTCCTCTTGGCTGAACTGGGCATAGCGGACATCGTCATCTCGGGACATCACTCCCCCTGAGGCCAGCACTTTGATGCACTTCGCACCTCTGCGGATCTGCAGTCTCACTGCGCGTCGACATTCGTCCACTCCGTCGACGATACAGCTCGAGCCGGTGCCGAAATGTCCAGAACTGATCGATGCAACACCCAGATTTTGATACACCACGTCCGCTGGCAAGTTGAAGACGTCACCGTGACCCGCTGTCTGGGACAGACACGCGCCGGAGGAGTAGATGTTGGGCCCCACAATTTCTCCGTCGTTGATAGCTTTGGCGACCTCACAACCCATACCGGCGACATCTCTCATGCTAGTATACCCACGCTGCAGGGCCTCCCAGCATCCACGAGCCAGGCGTGCCCCAGCCGAGGCCGGGTGCGTTGCGATAATGGGTACGTATCCCGGACCGTCATCACCCGTCGCTGACGCGCCCATGAAGTGCGCATGAACCTCCCACAATCCCGGCATCAGATATGGGACATCATAGGAACGATGAGACGCTGCGGTGTACTTCTCTGGAATGTCGGATTGCAGTCCGATCCAGGCAATGATCCTGTTCGAGATGACGAGCGCCGCGTTCTCAAACGGGTCGTCGGCGCCGGGGATGAGCAGCCCGGCTTTGATGATGGTATAATATTGCTTCTTCACTGGTTTGATCTCGCTTGACTTGATGGTCATTCCATATGCTGTCGAGAAGACCTGGGCGGGAAATTTGGAAGCAGTGCCAGCAAGCCTGGTTGGCATGTCCATTGTGAGGGGCTCCTCTCCGACCGAGTTCTCGGTATCAGCATTTACGCGGCCTGCATCTGACACCAGGTTTTCCTGGAGAGTTCGTCTGGTCATCTTGATAGGTTGTTGGGTTTATGGAATGGTGACTGCAAAACCAAAATCTTTGAGATAGGGACTCGAAATACTTATTAAAGCCGGAGCCCGGAGTAATTCTTGACATTCATGATAACGAATTACCAGGGGTTGAAGCCAATACTGCATAGGAGCCTCTGCGGCACAGTCGTTAGTCTCGGAGTTCGCATTGTGTGTGTTCGGAGTTGCCACATGCAGAACCTAGGCTTCACAGGTTTGATTATTACTGATTGCATAGATTCATTCCTCACAAGAAGGAAACCCTCAATCCATTTCTCCATTCGATATTTCTGCCTACTCAAGTCAAATTCGAATGTTGAGAACAGATCTTATACATGCTGATGAAGTCATGAAGTGATGAAAGCCATTAAAGAATGCTTCTGAAATCTGCTTCCTTTCAGACGTAATCTTTCGAGACTGGGATACCGCTGAGTATCCAGCGAACCGAAAGGATACATTAGTCCTAGCTGACTGTCAGTAGAGACTTTTATCGCAGCACATCTGTGTATTTGGGCAGCGACATGTTCAGTGCTGACGAATAAGAGAAAGTGACCAGTTTTAGCAGAGATCACAGGTCTGCCCTCTTTGTACTATGGGAAAGAAAGTCCTCGCCAAGACCTAAGCGTTCATCCGTTCAGTTTAGGCTTAAAAACAAGCTTCATGTCACGAGCCTTAAGCTAGCGCTGACCGGTTCGGATTTTCTATATATAGGGGGGATGCCCTCGGTTGCTGCACCCCTAAATTGGGTACCCGCTCTACAGGGCTGCCAAGCCTCTCCTGTGGGCATACCGAGCCGCTCTAATATAGAATACGAAGGAAATTCGATGGCTTCGAATTTAGGTACCCATGCTAGCACGAGTCGTGTTAGACCTACGAATGTGATTTTTACGTTTATTAGGTAGACACAGGATTATTCCGCCTTGCAGTTGTGGTGGACTAGCATGGAATATCAGGGGCAGCAAAGCATGTGTGCAGACCCAGCCTTGATCTGCACTTAAAGACTCGCGGATACCAGCCAAGCGTATCTATTGTGGAAAAGTAGCTTTGAACATCTAGGAGGTTCTGTGACACGTTTCTCAAGATGTTTGGCTCTCTACCCACAGCATTACTGGTCTTGCTGCACGCGTACTCGGCAAATGCCAAGTCGGTCGTCTACGAGACAGCGCCGTCTCCTCTCCCAAATGGCTGGAAGCACCTCGGACCAGCTGACGACACGACCAAGCTTTCTTTGTCTATAGCCTTGAAACAACCAGGGCTACAAGAGCTCCGAGTACGATTAGACGATATCAGCAACCCTTCACATGAAGCGTATGGCGCTCACTTGTCAAGAGACGAAGTTCGTCAATACAGACAGGTATCAGGGTCGGCTGTAGACGCTGTGCTATCCTGGTTGCAAAGCAATGATGTAACGGATTTCGCCCTCGAAGATGGTTGGGTAAACTTGAATGCGACCATTGCACAAGTCAACACTCTTCTCAGCTGTACTATGTCGAGCTACCGAGTGAGCGGAAGCTCAGATGTGCTTTACCGAGCTCAAGCGTATAGCGTCCCTGAGGAGCTGACTGACAGCGCGGACTATGTCTATCCTGTCACTCAGTTCATGGCGAAGAAGCGATCAAAGAGGTCATTCGACTCGTCTTCAATCGTCGAGAGATCAAACCCGCCGGCAAGTCTGATGCCACGTGCAGGTATGAGAAGAAGAAAATCTCCCCAGGTGGAATGAGGTTTCGGCCGACTAACAAGACTGAGTTGCAGACATGCCATCGAGTTGCATAACAAATGATGCCACCGTTCCTCAATGCGTCGTCGACCTTTACAACATTACTTATATACCTCCAGACAACCTCTCCAATAGTTCTCTGGCTATCGCTGGGTTTCTTGAGGAATATCCGGGCTTGGACTATATTCACGCGTACCTCTCCAGCTACAGTTCTCGACGCAACGACGCCAATTTCACCCCAGAATACAATTTTACCATTGTTCCCATCAACGGCGGTAGTTCGGAAAACCAAGGTACAGGAGGAGAGGCGAACCTTGACATGGCATGCTCCATGCCTTATGTGCAGCCACTTGACGTTACGTATTACTCCACGGGTGGACGTGGGCCATACATCAACGATAACGGCGTCACAGTCGCAGACAACTCAACAAGCATCAACGAGCCATGGGTACCATTCCTTGAGTACCTCGTCGCCCAAGAATCAGTGCCCCAAGTCCTTTCCATCTCATATACCGATGACGAGCAGACTATCCCTCTCTCATACGCGAATCGGGTCTGTGACCTTTTCATGCAGCTCACAAGCCGTGGCGTCTCGGTACTGGTGGCCTCTGGCGACGGAGGCGAGGGTGGAACGGGCACATCTGACCTGGGCTGCTACGCCAACGACGGCTTCAGCAACAAGACCCAATTCATCCCGACCTTCCCTGCTGACTGTCCCTACGTCACTTCTGTAGGCGCCACCGCCGCGTACAGCACCGTCGCTGGTGTCGACTTCTCGGCCGGAGGCTTTTCGAATTACTTTGCTCGCCCTTCTTGGCAGGAAGCCGCGGCTAGTGCGTATATTACAGCACTTAATGGTTCACATGCGAGTTGGTACAATGCCTCTGGACGCGGAATCCCAGATATTTCAGCCATTGGGAGCCGCATTCAGATTGGAGGTGGACGGACGACCAAGGGAACCAGTGCTAGTGCTCCCATCGTAGCGAGCTTGATTACGCTGATCAACGACAAGAGGCTCCGGGCCGGCAAGACGGCTCTGGGATTTCTCAACCCGTTGCTTTATAGTGGGCAACTGGATGAAGCATTGCTGGATAGCACTGAAGGCTCTGGAGGCAGTTGCACTTTCAACAATGGCAATTATGAGCTGGGATTTGATGTTTTGCCAGGCTGGGATCCAGTGACCGGGCTGGGGACAATCAACCTGGGAAAGATGTTGGATATTCTATAGTGAACAGCCATGTACCTAGATAGTCTTGTCTGCGAAGTTTTTCCAATCGCTAAACTTAAAAGTTGATCTTTTCGCAAAACCGCGACCATTGGCAAGAGTGCTGTTTGGGGACATTGGACAGCTTTGCATGGTATCTTCCACTTCTAATTTCCAACATTTTGAGGTCGGCTAGGTCTGTCTACATTTGAACTGAATGTACTCTTTTGTGGGAGGGCCACATATCCCTGTCTAAGCGCCTGGGTGTCGTCTGCAAGACACCAAAAGTCATCACGAGATCTATGATAAGACGAAAAGGGTGCACATCGACTTAAGATAAGTTACTAATTGGGCAAGAAAATGAAAGCCAATGATTGTACAAAGATTCGAACCAATATATTCCTCGATAAATAGAAGTGTTCATCCCATTTCATGCTCCAGTCTACCAGGAAACATGAGACAAAAAAAGCAAAATGATCAGAGTGGGATTCGAACCCACGCATCTTTCGATACTAGAATGCTAACTATCTGAGATAGCCAAGTTGTACAATCACTACTTGAGTCTAGCGCCTTAGACCGCTCGGCCATCTGACCTATTAATTGTTGTTGTTGAATTGTGAATTCTAGGAGATGTCATATTCCCTGACTCGATAAGACTCACTTCACAGAATGCCGGGGCGGGTGGGGAGAGGGGGGAACAGGGGGGAGGGTTGACTCGGACCAAACCCGTACAGCCGGCGTCATCCTCAGTCCTATTCTCAACATTATTCGTTACTTTCTATATTCGATCGCAAGCAACCTTAACAATTTTGTGAACCAAAGTCTTGCTAGTTTAGTGGACAGCGCACCCTGATGTCTCATCCAGGACAGGCGCTCTCACTTATAGTAGCCGCCGCTAATTTCCTAGCCAATTTAGTAGAGTTGAGAACACCTGATGACGCACTACATTTAAAGTGCCTTTCCACCCCCCTCCCCTTCGCACTTCTTCAGGAAGCACTTTGCGACTGCATAGGATCACTTCTTTTGCCGGGCTATAACTCAAGCTAGAGGACTATCATAAAGCACAATGGCATCGTACAGCTCATCATCCATCGGCCTCGCGCCTGCCAGGCTTTTGCGTAGGTCATCCTCCATGTGCCCCATGCCAGCCTTTGTTTGAGTTTCCGGAACTGACTTGTCCCTATTCCATTTGACAGCTGTGACGGGCGCTTTCGCCCTGCCCTTCACTGCTTACTTTCTCTACCTTTCCGGTCGCTGTGTACAGTATCGGCTTCGCGATGAACATTGGATTGGAGATGACTCCTCCAAGAAAGACAGCGACTCGCCCAGTGGCAAATCCGTCGTAGCGAATCAAGGCGATAAATACAACGACCTGCTCGTGTCGACGCGCGCGCACGCCAATTTTGCCGAGAATGTGCCCCTCGCCTTCATCCTCGCCGGGATTGCTGAAATCAATGGGGCCAACCGCAAAGTCTTGACAGGAGTGCTGACCACTCTCTTCGCACTACGTGTGCTTCATGCCGACTTTGGACTTATTCGGCCGGGCTCGATGGCTGCGGGGAGGCCGATTGGGTATTTTGGCACAGCTGGAGTCTTGGGTGCACTGGCGGGATACAGTGCTTGGCTTGTCAAGGATTTCTGGGGACTGTGAGCCTCATTAAAGGGGAGGGTGCTTCTGAGCTGATCAATCAAGTACTTTTATACAATCTTTTGAGGATCGAAACAAGCTTCCTTGCCGTGCGAAAGTATGATCCCAAGCAAGCGCATGAGACGATATTCGGAGAGTAGGACTAGAAGAGGCTGATGGTCAGATAATGCTTGTGTGATATAGTCTATCATTAAGAAACAGCGACTTTTCTTTTCTGAATCCCGCCTCCGGTAACTCAATCACTGAGGATCTTCAAATGATGCCGCATAAAACACTTTCCGAGCACGTATCGCGAATTGCTACAGTGCACCCTCGCACAGAATTTCGGCTATGGAAGATGGAAGTACGGCGCGTTGCATGCGCTCATCGATGATGCATCAATTTTATGCCATCATGATTGCCAGATTCAAGGGAAAAGGCGGGGGGTTATGACCTCCATTTCTCCTTTTCTTTTCCACTTTGCATTTCATCACGCGAGCAGAATAAATATCAGTGAAGCTCTTTTTAAGACATGATTTATAATTCGAGTATCTATGAGTTGATCGTCTGAGATCTTTAGTAAGTCTATCTATTAATGTTGCCCCTAGATGTAATGGGATTTAAGGATATGAAAACGCTATGCAACCCATAATCCCGTAAACGCCCTAAACCGATACAGTGTCTTCCGCGTCTGGGATCCACATGGCCAACAACCATGTGTGCAAGTGGTCGACAGTTTTATACATAAAAGCCTACATGTACTCTTCGTCTTTCTTTCACGCCTTCTTCCCCGTGGTAACGCGTGCCTTCTGGTTTGGCCTCACTCGGAACCAGTAGTATGTGCCAACAGCGACAGCAATGTTGAAGATGATGTATGCCCACATGATTCCGAAGTTGCGCCACCGGTCCTCCCAGAAAATGCCACTGCCAGCGAGATAGTCGTCGGCTGAGGCCAATGAGCAGTACCTGCACGCAGAAGTATCATCGGGGTTTTGGAGCGTACCCGCTGACCCAGTTCCATTCATGTATGCAGCAAAGTACTCGCCGCAGGTTTGTCCCAGCGGAGGATCGATAACAGAAGCCTCGACGCTGGAGCACGTGACCTCGCGTCCGTGAGCCATGGTCGATGTGGTGGCGGAGATCCAATAAGTGAAGGGGCTGACATAGTACATGAATAGCCAGAAGCCTGGCAGCGCGGTGGGAGTTTGTAGGACACCACAGAACATCATACTCAACAACATACCCAGCGTGACCAGTGCACCGGCAGTATTAGCGTCGGGAAGTGCAGCGATGGTCATGTGCGCGTAGGATGAGGCATATACGAAGAGGATGACAATGAGGAGCATGAGCAAAGCCTGACTCTCGGTGTCCTGTCCTGTGCCGACGACTGGGAAGTAGAAGCAAACATAAGTGAGGACCCCCATAACGATCTGGTAAGGAATTTCCACAATGATGTTGGCGATCATGAAGGCCTTCCAGCTGTATGCTTTGCTGGGACGCTCCCGAACCTCGTACAGAGACCGTTGGGTGACGAACAGGGGTTGGATCTGTTGGACAACGGAGGAGAAAAGGGTGATGACCTGGAATGAAGAGAAAATGGTAATCTGCACACCAGCTAGCGAGTCGCCAGGCTTGTAGAAAGAGAAGCCAATGAATAGACCCGCCACAATGCCAAGGAAGAATTTAGCGAAGATATACTCGGGCATTCGCCAGTACTGTTGGAAGACTCGTATAGTAACAGCAATGAGCTGCTGGCTGAAAGGCATTGCGAATTCCGAATGACTACCCTCGTCCTCGCCTGTGTGAAGCTGCTGCGCCTTTTCGTTGTGAATTCTGTCAATCTCGGCTTCGACTTCCTGGCGTTCTTGGCTCTTGAGCCACACTGAGTGCCAGTCCTGGGCTTGTCCATTGGCAATCTCGAGCATGTATTCAGCCGGGTTCTCTTCGCTGTGACAAGGGCGTGCTCCGTTGGCTTCGAAGTAGTCCAGCAGAGTCCTTGAGTCTTTGCCAATGTCGCCGAAGTAGACCGTCTTGCCTCCCTTGGCAAGGAACAATAGCCGATCAAATTCCTGGAACAAAACAGCACTCGGTTGGTGTATTGTGCAGAGCACCGCCTGTCCAGAATCGGCAAGCTTGCGCAGGAAGGATACGATAGCCCAAGAACTTTGGGAGTCGAGACCGCTGGTAGGTTCGTCCAGGAAGAGCAGAAGTTTAGGCTTGGCTGCCAGTTCGACGCCGATTGTGAGAAGCTTGCGCTGCTCGACGTTCAGGCCTTCACCAGGAACGCCAACAACGGCATCGGCGAAGTCTTCCATATTGAGCATCTTGATGACATCCTCGACGAATCTGTACTTTTCCTCTTTGCTGACTGAGGCTGGCTGGCGAAGCATCGCACTGAAGCGAAGAGACTCTCTGACAGTGGCTGTCTCCAAGTGAAGATCTGAATTGAGATAGACGTCAGCATAAAAAGGTATTGGGCCAATGAGACTTGAGAGAATTTGACTTACCCTGTTGTTGCACATAACCAGTTTTGCGCTGAAAGCTCTCGTCCAAGGGCTTCCCGTTGACCAACATATCTCCAGTGATGACACCCATCGTAATTCTCTGTGCCAAGGCGTCGAGTAGCGTAGTCTTGCCTGCGCCACTGACACCCATCAGAGTAGTAAGAGTTCCAGGCTTTACCCACCCTGACACATTGTCCAACAATCGACGAGTCTCGCCCTTGATTTGGATATCGTATACAACGTCCTTCCAAGTGAACACATCTGTTTGGGGCTCCAATGCAGAGACTTTACCGTCAGTTTCTTGCATGGCGTCAGCGCCAGGTCGACGCTCCACAGACTGGTTGCTGGCGTTGCCCTTGCTTTGCAGATAGGCGGGTACGTGGCCACGTCGGAATACAAGAAACTCGGCGGTGCTACCCATACCCGCGTTCACCTCTGCCACGACGATGTAGAGCGCCAGGAAGAATACCAGGAATCCAATGAGAATGCCAAAGTTGCGCCAGACATGGGAGTACGAGTAGTTGAAGCTTGCTTCGATGTACGCGTCTCCGCTGACGGTGGCACGACCTGGGACCGCTCCCACAGCATTGCAGATCCATGAGTCGCCTTGCAGTGGAGTATAAGCGGGTATGATACTGGAGCAGATGTACTCATGACCGTGGAATTCATTAGCCACCAAGATTTCGAATGCGTAGAACAGCGGATTAATCCATCGGATCCAACTAAACCAAACATGCATGGCAGGGGTGGCAATCATGAATCCGGTGTAAATAGCCAAGGCAAGCACAAGTATACCAGCGACCGTCATTGCCTGAGAAGAGGTGCGAGTCGAGGCGGCGACTGTGCGGAAGACGCCAGAAAAGATGAAGGTCGAAAGATACGTTATGAGGAAGAAGAGGAAGAATTGTGAAGCTTCCCGACGTAGTCCTGCCAAAAAGTAAAGAATGATGTTGAAAGGTACGGCAATGATGAATTTGACCGGTATGTCGAGCACAAGGCCAGCTAAGGCTTCAGTAGCAGGATGATAGAACGCGTATGAAGCATGCTTGTTGACGATTGGACGTTGCGCGTATAAACTGCTGATTTCGGAAAGGACACTCAAGGCATTCGACAAGACGCCCATAAACAGGGCTGCGCCTTTAGAGTAGAAGCCGGTTGTAGACTCATAGTTATCCGGTGCGTAGAAAAGCGATCCCATGATCAGCGCAATGATGACCTGCATGACAGCGTTGGTCAAAGTGGAGGTTCTGTCACCCCAGACACGTTGGTATGCCCTCTTGACATTGAGTTTGATCTGTTGGCCAACTGTGGTAACATATGGCGAGCCGGACCGAGCATGCTTTGCTTGTCGCAACTTTTTGCTTTCTCGGAAAAGTTCAAGTGTCTGGTTTTGTGTACCAGAGCGCCCAGCTTGTTCATCATCAGACAATGGATACTGTTCCCCATGCCTCCGTATGTCTTCC